CATCTCATCCTCTGCCGTCCTCTTCTCCTTTTGCCTTCAATCTTTCCCAGCCTCAGGGTCTTCTCCAAAGGGGGCAAAGCCCACTAACAGCAGCATGCAGAACTGATATTGAGCCGAGGACTGGACAGAAGGCTGTAGTCCCACAGCAGACCTCCCAGGCCAACTGTAGCTAAGCAAATCACTGTCTCTGAGAGTGCAATCTCAACAGGATGCTTCTTAAACTGCGCTAAGCCTGGCTCAGCCGCAGGCTGCCCCTGAACTGGAGGATCCATTGTGAGTACAAGTCTTCAGCTAATGGAAAGTGGGGTACAGTATCTTCATACTGCAGTAAGCAGGCTGTGTGGATGAGCCCCATTCCTTCTCAGCCTTCTTCAAATGTTGTGCTGTGAACATAGCATTTGTTTTAAATCAGTTTAAAATGATAAAGAAAAGTGACTGAACGCCTGATTAATTCAGGAAAGGAGTGACTCCTTGTTTGATCATAAGGATTTTTCAGAAAGTGTATCATCATAACAAAACATATGGACCCCAAGATCTATAGACATGCAACTGTAAAACAGTTTGAATTTTGAGGTGGCAACTAAGTCCTTAAGAAAATTAATATATGAGGATTTGCTATGTGTTTTTGTAAGTATACAGTGTGGTAGATTTGAGATTTGATGTTCTGAAACAGTGAGAATCCCTTTTTTTTTTCCTTTAGTCATTTCTGAACTAGTGACTTATAGAGTTTTCTGAATCAAAGCAGCATGTATAATAAACAGTTTGTACAATCAATCTGGATGCTGCAGTCCTGAATTCACTGCATTTGCCATTACAAAAAACAAAAACAAAAAACAACCAGTATCACCATGGTGGGAATGCTATAGAACAGAGGTCCTCAAACTTTTTAAACAGTCCCTCAGAATGTTGGGGCGCCAGACTATAGTTTGAGGAGAGGAGGAGAGCTGCTGGACCCGGCATACCTGTCATGTAGAATAGTCCGGCTCTCTGATCATCCTCCTTGTGCATCGCCTGCAGCTCCCGACACAGACCCGACATTTCTGCTTCTGACAGACAGCAGCAGTGGCCAATCAGGCAGGCGGGCTGGATAAATGACCCTGGCGGGCTGTATCCAGTCCGTGGGCCATACTTTGAGAACCCTTGCTATAGAGCATTCTCTGGTACTGAAGACTCATTATACCAAAAACAGCTATTTTTTAAAAAAAAAATTTTCAAGGGTTGGTTCAATTTTTATTAGGATATCCCTCCCCTACACAGGAAAAGAAGTCCAAATTTTACCAGTAACACCACTATCTTCTCCGTCAAGACTACAGACTTAGAAAAGTCTCCAATGTGTTTAAAGGGGAAGTATTGGTAAACCTGAAGTACAAAGGGAAGGCTTACACATTCCTTTCTTGTGTTTGATTAGTGTTTGATTGTGTTTGATTAATGTGAAGCAGCTATGGTGCCCTCAGCCTGTTGCAAACTTCCAGCCACATAGTGTTTCCCACTTTTGTATCAAATTCTTCTTAGGCACAGAATAAGAATTACCTAGCAACTGCTGGCCGAAGCACTGTTGAGCTGCATTTCCATGACGGATATCTTGTCTACGGAAGCGTCTAAGTAAAATGAAAAACAATCTGAAAACAACTGAAAACTCAAGGTTGTGAATAGCCAAAGGCAGAAGCCTTTAACAGGAAACTGCTATTTTCAAAGGTTCCTCTAGGCAGCAGGATGGAAGTTGCCTATATATCCTTAGAGAGGTTGATTAGAGATGACTAAGGAAGTTCCATTCCAAGCTGCAGTATGTGGATATATCAGAGTTATCTGGGCATAATTCAGTGAAACATATACCATGTTGAGGCAATAATAGTACCACTGTCTAGTATTTGTCACACCACTCTTACAGCAATGCAAACTTTAAATACCAGTCTACTAAAGAGGAGGAATGACAACAATGACTAAGACACCTGGCAGAGATGAGGCAGTATCAAGGTGAAAGAACAGTTCCTGTTGACGTAGGGGAGGCTGGTAGGCTAGAGTTGTCGGGGGGGGGGGGGGGG